TGCTGGCAACCCTATTTAGCTTGACCACAGATATTATGGAGCTGCTGGTGCTCTGTGGCTCTTCCTTGTTGGAGCTGTGGTAGGCCTTGTGATTGGACTAGGTTCTGCCTTTGAGTATCCTGGGTTTGCTGAGGGATTGGAGGAGATTAGGAGTAGGTTCTTCTGCAGAGTCTTTGCTGGCATGCCTCTCAGTGCATTCCCCTGATTTCCAGCAGAAAAGACAAAGAACGTTCTGGTCTTTTTCTGGGAATTTTGAAAAGACAGCAACACAAACAAAAAACAACATGAATTACATTGTTGTCTATTCTTATGAATGTTTTTATGTGAAAAACAGCATTCTGTTTTTTGTTATAGATATTTTGACCATGAAAATGCTTTGCCTAGAAGTAATGCACTCAAATGTTAACATTCACAAATTAAACATATATTAGCTTTCTAAGTGAATTGTAGCTTAACTCAGGATTTTATTGTGTGGGGTATATCCAGCAATCTGTGTACAGTGTACCAAACTGTACCAAAACAGTAAAACTAGATGGAAAAAATATTCACTGCAGCTCCACATACTGTATATGATATCATCAGATCCAGTTGGAATTGGGGTACAGAGAGAATAGTTTACTCCTCTTACTGTTAAAGTGCCAAAACTTCATTTGGAGTCACACTAAAGTACGATTGCTTGCCTGTTCTTTTATTTTAAGCTCTGTATCCTCAGTTCTGTTTGTTACCATACAGTGGATTTGTCTGTATAACAAGTTGTTTCTTACAGTACATGTACATGACCACAAAACAAAATGATCAGCATTTATCTATTATTTTTCATGTGCCTTTAATGCACAATGGCTTGAATCTCATTGTATCTTGTTCAACATCTTGTTTTATTTTTCTTTGTTTGTGTGTCAAACGATTTTTGATATACCATCCATTTTGAGAAGTGCAGCCAGCCTTGTTGGAAGGTCTGCATATTCCTGGTATATTCCTGTGCACCTTGTATCCCCATATAGCTTTCCTTTTGATAGATCCACAATCAGTGGAGACATTTTTTTTTACTTTACTCTTTCTCTTATGCCAAGAATAGAGCTGATTAAATGTGTTTCCCAAACAGATCCTATGTGGAGCAGTGTTCCTCTTCAGGAAAGGTGAAAGGAACTCTGATCAATTTGTGTAGAATTGGCTCCAGCTGTGAACATTTCCTTCC